ACCTTCTGCAGCAGGTGAAAGGATGCTGGTGAGGGAAGGCACAAAAGTAGCTGTGGAGTCCCATTGTGACCCATGATTTCCTCTCCCAACTTTTCACATCTGGCTTTTTTTTGCCCCTTCCAGCCTTGAAATGCTTCCCTCACATGCCCAATAAATGAGGCTGCCCACTGGGCAGAGCTTGTTGTCCAGCCCAGCTTCTGCGGGAGGCCGTCAGAACAGATAGCTATCAGCAGAAGGAGAGGGGCTCTGGAAGGGATGGGGGGAAGCCCAGCGCAGTGCCTCGGGGGGCTCAGGGCAGGCAGATCAGCAGGTGAGAGGAAGCACAAGCTTTTTGGAGCTATCTTGGGAGAACTTTTTTTCCAGGATGTTCCTCCATGATATGGCTGCAGGTGCTTGCAAGAAGGACAGAGGGGGAGAGCTCACAGGAGATCTTTCCCGTTCCCTCAGCACCAGCTCCCCACAAGAAGGTGGCCCATTTGGGACACCCTGGAGCTCCTTCATTTGACAGTCCTTGTCCAGGAAACCATGACGCCCTCTGCCCAGCTAACACTGCCAGGAGCCCTGGGCTCCTCCATCCCAGCACAGGTCTCCCTCAGGTCCCTGATTCAGGTTCTCAAGCCCTGGCTGACCATCTCTATTACAACAATGACAGATTCTTGGGTCTCTATTCAGTAGGTCTGGAGCAAGGGGTCCAGACTTCTATATTTTCAGTAAGCCCCCCCAATCCCCTCTCCCTGCTCCCAGATGATTGTGAAGATTGACCGTGTCTGGAGGCCCTGATCTAGCCCACCCTTGCGTGCCTTGGGACAACACCCTCTTTGTAGAGATGGTCAGGGGTCACCTATTTAGAAACAAGCCCCATTCAGTTCCCCCTCCAGTTCCCCTCTGTGACTCATTAAGAAACTACTATCTTTTTTCTCTGCCATGAGGACTCCCTGCCAACCTGGGATAATTTTGAAATGAAATAGCTTTAAAGAGATATTTCTTCTGGCTGCCTGCAGAAAAACGAACTGCCTCCTGAGCTGGGGATCAGGACCTCCAAGGATCAGAAGCTGGATTCTTTCTTCTCTCTCTTTCCAAAAGCCAGTGGCTTGGACCAGTGAGACCGAGAAATGCGGAGCTACTGGGAAGGTTCCGTGAAGGTTGGAAAGCCACTTTTTTCTCCCTCCTACACAATTAGGTTGTAAAGAACGAAGAAATCCTTCCAACCCCTGCTCATGTTCGTGTCCGCCTGCTCTGCCTAGACTCAGCACACAGGATTTCCTTTGGCTCTGCCACCTCAGTGGGAAGACACACTTTCTCTTTGCTCTTATGGCTGGAGGGGCGTGTGAGAGGGTGAGAGGCAAGATGCANCCTAGACTCAGCACACAGGATTTCCTTTGGCTCTGCCACCTCAGTGGGAAGACACACTTTCTCTTTGCTCTTATGGCTGGAGGGGTGTGTGAGAGGGTGAGAGGCAAGATGCAGTGTGTGTGTGTGTGTCTGTGCATGTGCGTGTGTGTGTATCTAGCCCTGCATGTCACATGCAGTCAGAAAGTGCAGGTGAATGGGCAGAAGCCTGTGTGCGTGCGTGTGTTTGTGTAGAATGAAAGTGCAGCCTCTGTGTAATGTGTGTGCGCCTGTGACAGTGGGTGACAAGATGTGAGAGGTGCAGGGAACTCGGTCCTTCATTCTGGTTTCTATGGAAATGCCTATTATCTGTAAAAATACTGTGTGCAGCATAACTCACTGCTGCAACGTCTCTACCCAGAAAGTTTGAATTTGCAGCCAGCAAATACACAGGTAGAGGGTGGAGAAGCAGCGAGGAAGACTAGCTTGAGCTCATTTGAGAGGAGACAAAGGTGGAAGGAAGGAAGCAGGAGACAGAGATTAGGATAACCTAGGCTGACAGAGCAGGAGGACACTCGCCGGGGGAAGGAGGCTTCCTACCCATCTCCCGGCTGGGCTTACCTGCACACACCTGCCTCTGCTCTCAGCTCTGGGTTAGTCCCCGGCAAGGCTCCCTCCGCTTCCTCCCCCACCCTTCGGTGGAGCCGTGGCAGCAGAGAGCCAGCTAGAAGTTCTGATCTCCCAGTGATGTGAGTGTGCTCGTGTTTGCCTGACTTTTCTTCTACCAGATCCTATTGGGGTGGGGAGGTTAGGTTAGAGGGAGGGACAGGCAGATTGTAGGGAGGGAGGGGAGGAGGGAGGGAGGAGAGAAGAGAGGGAGGGAGCTTGGGAAAGGAGGAATGACAACAATAAAGTCTTTATTTGGCAGCCAAAACTCCCAAAGACTTCATCCACACATCATGCCCACTAACAAACTCATTTTTAATAACATTTCCTTCTGCTGCTGCTGCTTCTGGGGGAAGATTGTTTGACCCATGTTTGGAAAACAAGCCAAAATAACAGAGGAAAAGACATGAAAAGCAAACTCTGTGTGGGCCAGAGCTGGATGGCTGGGTCCATACCAGCCTGTTTATCCCTCCTCCTAACAACTGCCGTGCTTCCCATTGCTCCCCTGGTGTTAAATTCCCAAACCAGTGAGGGGTATGTGACATTTTTTCTCACAATCCTTTCCTAAGTCATCTTCTTTAGGAGGCTGCTAAGGAAGAGGGGCCTCCCTGTGCAGTGAGCTGGCACAGGAGATAGCCTTGGTTTGGCTGCAAGAAGACCAGAGAGGGAAAAGTCTGACCTGGAGTCACACAGCAAAGTAAGACAGAATTAAGATTTGATATCAGACCTAAAGTCACTGTCCCTAACCCAAGTGGACAATGTCAATATCTTCTTTCACCTTCCCCATCTGTATCACACTCAGGAGAGATTTAGGGGCTGTATGAGAATCACACAAAGAAATGGAGAAATCCAAATGTCTGTCCCCTGTCCTGTCATCCCAGAAGACCCATTCAAGTCAGACTATTACCTCAAACAATTTTCTCAATTAAAACACGGCAGCACACTTGCAGTTAAGAAGCAGCCCATCAAAACTTCCTGCCACCCCCTGTTGACTACTTAGAAACTTCAACAGTGCTCCATGGAGAGCTCCATGGTAGCAGGACTCCTGCCACCCCTCCCAATCTGGGGTAGAGGAAAGAACATTAAACTCAGGGCCAGCAGCCCTGGACTATAATATTTACAAGCTATATAATCTTAGACAAGTCACTTAATCATGTGGAGCCTCAGTCTCCTTACCTATGAAATGGGGATAATACCTGCCTCACAGGGTTGGGAGATGATATATGTGAGAGCACTTTATAAACAGGGAAGATATTAGGATTAGGGGTGAGTATGGTGAGCACTAGTCAGTCTAAGAAACAGAAGGAGAAAGAAAACCCCTACCTTCTTTCCCCACCTTGCTTCCCCCCAAAGCATGAGCTCTCCACGCCGACTGGGGGGGTCTTCCTGGAAGGCAGTGCAACCCTCGCTAGAGTCACATGTGCCCGAATGTGCTAAGCTGCTCATGCACTTTACTTTCCATCCCAATGAAATATGTCCCCTTCTGCATACTGAGGTCATCAACCCTGGATTTGCTTGTTTCCCTTAGTGGGTGGGTGGTAAGAAAGGTGAGCAAGATACAATAATGTCAGGGGGGATGGGCAAGAGGCAGGGTAGAAGGGGCTAGACAGGGTGCAGGCGGTGTGACTTGACTCTATTTTTATGAGGCCCCTCCAAATCCTGAGTCCACGCTCATTGGCGTTGATGATGGCCAACTCCAAGCCCTTCCCAAGGCTGTGTCTCCCTCCCTC